GACTAAAACTCCATCAGGTGACAGAATGGAGAAAAAAACCTTGGAGAACCAAGGTTTCGTCTAGAAAGCCTATCAACTTCGTGTATAACAAAACGAGCCAATGGCAAAGAAATGAATACACATATGACTCAGAGCAGCTTCATATGGTGAAACAATGGGGTGTCCATGTTTCAACCTGTGGCAAAGTGGCTTGCCAAGAGAAAGACACATGTTCGGAAAGGCTTACAGTGGAAATACACATGTGGGGGTCACCAGTGGGGAACCAAGCACATGGAGGCTCAAACCTCCCTTGTCCTGCCCAGGAGCCACGCGTGGAGGTTCCAAAGATCGTGACGAGGGTGCCCCGTCTCTGAGAAAGGGTCCCTACTCTGAGGAATTGGCCAGGGAGATGCTGTCACAAGGATTTTATGTTTATTAAGCATGTAGGGAGCATTGGGAGCTCAAGGATAGATTATTGTAATGCTCAACCACCCAGTTGAGCATTACAATAATCTATCCTTGAGGTCATGGACGCATGAACTAACTGTTTTCATTTGAACTAACTTTTTCATTAAAAGCTTATGTTGTAATTTAAATATATTTTTAAGATGGAAGAATGTGGTTTTACAGATTCAAAGAGCACACCCAGGTTCCCAACCGACGACGAGGACTTGACAGAGCTGCCATCAATTGTTAGACAGTATTCTAGGGTATTAAAGGAGTAGTTCACTTTTCAAATAACTTTTGCTGATAATTTACTCACCCCCATGTCATCCAAGATGTCCGTGTCTTTCTTTCTTCAGTCGAAAAGAAATTAAGGTTTTTGATGAAAACGTTCCAGGATTTTTCTCCATATAATGGACTTCAGTGGGAACCAAACGGTTCGAGGTCCAAAAGACAGTTTCAGTGCAAACTGCAAACTTGTTCAAATGGCTTTAAACGATTCCAGACGATAAATAAGGGTATTATCAAGCGAAACGATCGCTCGTTTTTTTTTTAAAAAATAACAAAGTTTACGTTTTATAAGCACAAATGCTCGCCTTTTTCAAAAGCCAGCTTTTTTGACAAAGATGAATTAATGGTATTAAGAAGAGGATCTATGACCTCTTTCAATAGCTTAGTGGGTATGAGGACTATGTTGTCAATTTAAATGATTTAACGAGTTTAGACAATTATTCCTCTCCTATAGCAATGAATGAATGGAATTTTTCCTCAGGGAGACTGCACCGCACTGTCTGATACTGTAGTAGATGGTTGCATAGTTATAATTTTCTCTCCAATATAATCAATCTTGTAAATAAAGAAGTTCATAAAGTCATTCCTCCTGTGTAGTTTGAAAACATTGAGGTTTTATTTTTTGCTAATTTAGCTTCTGTTTCGAACAGTTTTTAAGGCCTTTCTGTATGCAATCGTGCTCTTTCTCCACGAAATGTGGAAAACTTCTAATTTTGTTTTATTCCAGCTATGCTCCATTTTTCTGGCTGCTCTCTTCAGGGCCTGAGTGTGCTCGTCGTACCAGGACGTTAGACTATTTTCTTTAATCTTCATTAAGCACAATGGAGCATTTGGACAAAGTACAACACTTTTTAGACAAAGTACTGGAAAAGAGAGAGTCAATCATTTCTGTTGCAACATCGAGTTCTTCTAAGTTAGGCCAAAAAACACCCCTGCCATTTGTTCAAGCTCTCATTTTCATATCCTTGCCCTTTAAGTGGTAAAAAATATACCCCCCCCAGGGCCTCGGGATTAAGGGAGAAAACAACTCCTGATTATATATTCAGCACTAATAATGCACCCCCCATGCACCATTCCTGTATCCCCCAGCAATGAAGGGGAGCACAAAGGAGGAGGTGTTAAAAACACTGAAAGAGTGAGAGCACAAAAATAAGGACTACTGAGAAAGAATAGAAAGTGAAGAGGATGATTCGGAAGGGAGGAGTTTGACAGATGGTTGGGTTTGCTTCATGTTAATGAGCACCCAGAGTTGGTGGGTGCGTATTGTTTGTTTTTTGCTTTATTTAGTTGCATCATTTATACTGGAAAAAGGTTAGACGTGTCAGTGTACTTGAGTGAGACCTTTTATTTAGGACTGATAGAGAAGCACAGATATAAGCAATTTATATACAGATAAGCCAATTATTATTTTCATGTTATGGCTGATATTAAAATGATATTGATATTGATAATGATATTGCACAATATTGTACTCTTACTCTCTCCCTCTCTCTCTCTCCCTCTCTCTCTCTCTCTCTCTCTCTCTCTTTACCGGAGCGACTTGCACTTGCTGTGACAGGGTCACAAGCTTTGAGTATGCGCACGAAGGGGACACGTGCGTGGGGGGAGGTGGTATGGTATGACCATTTGATTGACACATTTTCTGTCCAATGATTCTAGGTGGTCTTGGAAATGATAGGCCTTTATCGCATCAAAATAGAACGCCGGAAGTAACCGTCAAAAATAGCTGAAGCAGTGTACTGCGTCTTCCGGTTATTGCGTTCGAAATGGCTGCCTGTTATCGCTGGACTACTTCTCTCTCAAATCTCCCAAAAGTTGGCCAAGACGATGTGGTGCCTCCAGTTGCCTGATGGTTTCGGCAGCAGCATCAGCATCTAGTCCACCTGCGGAGTCGCGGGAGTAATTGTGATCACTGGCGGCCGCGGGTTGTTGATCCTCCGCGACTGTGGGCTGTTCATCCGCGTTCTCTATAGCAGAGTCGCTATTCTGTGACTCTTCAATTAACGTTACTTCAAAACGCGCATTAACCCGATCGAAAACTGACTGGCGAAGCACACGAGTCTCCCCCCAGCTGTTCCACGAAAATCGACTTGGTGTAGTACCGGATTTTAGTCTCCTCCGCCCACTTTTCGAGACGTAAATGCTTTCCTCGTCAAAGTGCAAGCTGCATACAAACGTACTACCCCGACTTATATGGAACAAAGGACCTTCGTCCCTCCTTATCAATCTCACCCAAGCCTTGCGGAGGTGTTCGTCTTTTGGGAAGTCATGGAAGCTAAGGTATGGCTGTCTTTGTTTTGATGTTGAACAACCCGGTACACTGCAATAGCACCGGCGAGAGGAGGCAGCCATAGTTTATCTGGTAACTAAGTAACCACCGGAAGTGCGAGTACACTGCTTGGCGATTTCGAACGTTCCAAACCAAGAAATGTGATAAAGGCCTATTGGCTGGAGTTCTTCGAGTCTTTCCACAGATGATTAAATTGCTTAAACGTACAGTATGCGATTTTTGGCCACCAGGGGTCACTCGTTTAAAATAATAACAAAAGACGTACTTTGATGACGTCGGGAAAGAGCGTGGTGGCTCACGGGAGTTGTTGTCGCTGTCAATGACAACCAGCTCAGCTCATGACATCATCGTTTCACAAAATATACGGATATACGGCATCTCTCTGTAGATTTAGCTTGTCAAGAAGCTTTAAATGCAACCCCAATGTTTACCTGTGTCATGCTTCTCCTGTCCCAAACCCTTCTCGCGTCATATTTTTCAGGTACGTTTGAGCTTTAGCTAATGAGCTGGCTGTAGCAGCAGAACGTGCAGGCAAAGCGTAATCGTGGTCCATAACTATAATACAGACGAATATAAATATTAATATTACGCTACTTCAATGAATGACCTATTTTAGAACATTTTTCATATATAGAGCGCACCGGATTATAAAGCACATAAGATACTGCAGTCTAACGTTTGACTGGGTTCGCGTTATTCATCCACTATGTGCTAAAGGCTAAAGGGAATGTAGTAAGTGTGCGGCGCCGGAGGTGAGGCGTTTATTTAGTAAGCATGAGAGAGCTGAAGCGGGCACGTACATTCGCAGCCTGACTCATATGAGTATTCAATGTGCGAGGCTCGCTAACAGCAACAGTTGGCTGATTTGAATGAGACGACACGGTTACTGTGAACGGGGAGCGCTTTATGCGCGAGGAGCAGCACCGGGGACAGTGTGTCTGTTAAGAGTGAGCGCTCGTGAGCGGGCACGTGATTTACACACATAAAAATACGTACTACTTTTTTTTTCTTCGTCATTTTCTTTGCTTTATTGGCGGTAGTCCAGTGTTCCCCTTTGTGTTTGGCGGTTTCGCCGGGTTCCGCAAGGAAGTTAGAGAAAATAGAGGAGTCAAAGGTTATATGACGCCATAGACGGGCGACGAAACGGAAATAAAGAAACGTCCCGTGTCTCCGAATTAAACTATAAATTTCTCCGTATTTGAAATTTGGTGGAAACTGTCGGGATAATGTAAGTACACATCTAACAGAAATATATAACATAGATACAATTATTTGTGCTATTTTTAATGCAGAAAAAATACATATTGTGGCTTTAATTTTCATTTCAGTGCTTCTAACTCAGTGGCTGTAAGCGGCTTAGGAATAGGATTTCAAGTGATTTTGAAAAAATAGTCAAAAAAGAAAATCAAATACCCCACCTTTAATAGAGGTCACTGGAGAGCAGAGTGGTATTGATGCCCTTAAGTCCAAAGTTATACATTGTGGACCTGCTAGGCAAAGGGAGCTTTGTTCAGGTTGCATTATCAAAATCTCACGCAAATGGATTTTTAAATTAGAAAGAAAAAATGCCCAGAGTCGATATGTTCACTCACTATGCTCAGGCAAAATGGGTAAGAGTTGACAATGCTGTCTGAAATAAGACAATGGGCTGTGAGGTTCTACAGGAACCTATATTTACTTCTATATGGGAGTAAATATGAGGAAGATGAAGAAATGTCTACTAGCTTCTATGTGGGTCTACCAAAGCTACAAGAGGCAGTGCTAGAGAGGGCTTTTTGTGAATGCAATGGAATGCAATGTGCCAAAAGTGCCTGGTATTGATGGTCTTCCAGTTGAGTTTTACAAAGCCTTTTGGAAGGTGATGGGTGAGGATTTCTTGGGTTTTCTCAATGAGAGCATAGCTGAAGATTCTCTACCTCTAGTTGTAGGAGACCTGCGATAACTCTTCCACCAAAGAAAGGTGATTTTCAAGAAATCTCTCTCTCTCTTCTGCTAGTACTCTGACCATCTATGGAGTAACCCAGGAGGATGAGGCCATATATCAGTGCATTGCAGAGAACAGTGCTGGCTCAACACAGGCCAGTGCTCGTCTGACCGTCCTGTGGGCTGATGGGTTGCCGGGTGTGCCCACGGGTCTACGTGCAGACACCCTTTCTCCAACTTCCATTCAGGTGTCTTGGAAAGAGCCCACCCAAAACACTCAGGACATAATTGGATATGTGCTCCATATACGCAAGACTGCTGGTAGGAAAACTGCTTATGAACCTAAACACACACTCACAAGCACGCAAAATCAAATCAAATCTAATTTACTCAGGTCAACATTGAATGTAAAATGCTCCCCAGTAAATCGGTATTTTATTTAAAGTAGAGGTCGACCGAAATTGGATTCGGGCCGATACCAATAACTAAGTTGGACAGCACTTGTCGATAACTGATTGATTAAACGTTTTTTTTTTTTTTAGTCCTGAACTTGATTACAAAAATAAACAGTATTGGCTAATGCATGAAAATGTATTGAACTTTTAAATGAAATATATACATATTAATATACTATATTAGTACTATGTGTGTGTGTGTTTAGCTATAACTTCAGAAGTAACACTTCACAATAAGTTCCCTTTTGTTATCTTTAGTTAATGCATTAGCTTTCATGAACTAACATTGTAAAATATTTTACTGCGTGTATTAGTATTTGTGAAAACATTTTTTATGTTAGTTACTATTGTGCATTCAATAATATTATAATTAACACATTTATAATTGTATTTTTAGAAAATGTTGAACTGGAGTGCATCACAAAAATAAACTGAAACTCAGTGTACACTTTACTCTATATAAAATGTAACTAGAGAAAGCTTGATATGTCTTTAATGTAAATGTAATAACAGCGGAGCCTTTTCAGCCGCTCACACATTGGATGCAACCGGAAGAAACAATCAGTGTGGATTACCGATAAGAGATAGAAATCGGTTAACGTGGCCGATGAATCTGCAAAACCGATAAATTTAAAGTATAAATGTATATTTCAACAAACGTTATGAAACACATATTTTATTCAATCTTCACTCTAGGCTCCTTCATTGTGGAAATCAGTGAGATTTAAAGTCGATAGGAAATCGCTGCTTTTATCCTATTGCCATCAGCTTATGGTAGCAGTTCACAGTCAGACTAAAGCATTTATGTGACTTTTTAAAAAGACAAATTACCGTTTTAGTCTGACTGAAACCAAAATTCTAAAACGCACATAAAAGTATTTGATGGTAAAGAATGAGAGAAAGCTCTTTTTTAAAAAAGCTCAGCATGATGTGTGTGTGTATGCATATATCAATCCCTCTCTCCCGGGAATCTTTAAAGTTGCTAGTTGATGTTTTCTGTGCTGGAGCAAATACAGCTAAACAGCTGATCTGAGACCCACGCTGATGTGCACTTAAATGCCCTGAGCTTTCTCTTTTTCTCTCACTCTCTCTCTCTTCACTGTGATGTTACCATGACTATTAGCCACTGCTCAGATTTGTCTATTGAACCTTTCATCCGCTGCAGCTTCACTGCCTTACAGCGCTGTGGGATGTGTTTTGGATTACGAGCCATATATAATATATATGATCACTTACAGCAATTTGGCATGAATAAATAATAGAGAAATATAACATTTACTGCAGCCATAAAAGTGACTAAGAGAGCTGCCAACATTAAGAGGTGGGCAATTGTCAGGGTTAATCCTCACTCTCACGTCAATGATTTCACTCTCTTGCTCCATTTTTCTTCATTTGTTTTTCTCTCTCATACAATTTTTTCAGTGTTTAATAACGGTCTCTCTTTTTCCTCCGTTCAACCTTCACACTTTACATTCAGACCCAGTGGAAATGGAGTACCAGGAGGCTGTGAGTAAAATGACCCTGCAGCAGGTAATCGGAGATCTGGAGCCTTCCACCAGCTACAGCTTCTATGTGAAGGCTTACACGTCCCGTGGAGCCAGTAAAGCCTCTGAGACGGCTGTGGAGAGCACTCTGGGAGAAGGTATAAAAACATATTTAAACAATCATACACAAAGTTGTATATAATTAGGTTGTATACATAATTCCCAGTTTTTTTGAGTTGTTAATTGTGCTGGCAGTAGTCAACTGTGGTGGGAAGAAAAAAAAACAATAAAGCGTTTCCCTCAGAGGCGTTTTTGATTCAGCGTAGGCTTTAATTCAAGGTTGTTCAGGGTAAAGTTCCCACCTGTTGTATTTTCTGTGAAAATACATTCCTCTGTTTGCAATTCCTACAGTCCCTGCACCACCAGCCTTGTTCGTGAGAGTGATTAATTCGACTGTGGTTCAGGCCACGTGGGAGCCCTCCACAAAGATGGGCCAGCAGGAAGGATTCAATCTCTACTACCGTAAGGTCCCCGTCCCCCTCTTCACAGGACCCCTCACCTTCCCACGTAATGTGACCCAGTACAACATCACTCAGCTGGGTGAGTCATGAAATATGAGCAGAAGGAATTTCGGTACCGCTTCCTTTTACAGTACAGTACTTACAGTGTAGTTACAGTGTACTTACCTAGAAAGTACTGGCTAATATAAGGTAAGTATATGGAACAGGGGTAGGTTCAGGGTTAGTACTAGTTATTACCCAGTAATTGTAGTTACTAAAATAAGTACATAGTATTTACATGGGTAACTGGACTGTAAATGGAAGCATTACCGGAATTTCTTTGTAAATAATATGTAAAACAAACAAAGAAATAATCTTCAGTTCATTTAGCCTGTTAAAAGCCAGTGGTTTACTTTACTGTCAAACACAATTAAATGCTTATAACTAAAAATATAACATGTCAGCGAAGCTCAACTAATGCATTCATTTATTTAAATAAAAGCATAACATAACATGTCAGTCATTGTTGTGTTATTATTATCATCATTATTCGTCTGTCGTAGTATTATACCAAGCACAAGTCATTTTTAATTAAAAGAAATCATTAAATCTTTTTTTTTTTTTCTCACTCTCTCTCTCTCTGGTCAGATCCCTCTTTTGTGTATGAAGTTAAGATCCTGGCTTTTAACCAGCATGGAGAAGGCAATGCCACCCTGCGCTTTGTGTCGCTCAAGGAGGCAGTGGAGAAATCAGGTGCCTGATGCAACACACTTGTTCACTCCCACACGTTCAAGCATAGTACTAACTCACTCACATTGACTGTGTGTATGTGTGCATTGTCTTCCTGCAGTGCTAAATACCCCTTGCGACTGTGTAAAAGACGAACAGAATAAAAGCTCCACCACAGGCATCATCATCGGCATCCACATCGGAGTCACGTGCATCGTTTTCTGTGTCCTTTTCCTCATGTTCAGCTACAGGGGCAGGTGAGGAAATCAATGTGTCGTTTTATAGTGAATGCAGTTGCAGTTGGCGTTTTATTTTAAATCAATTTCTTTTTCAAGTCAACATGTTTCTTTGGATGCAGGGTTGAATCGTTCTGTCTTTGCAGGTTGAAGATGTGTAAAACCATGCATGCCACCCGGCAAGCGGGCCGGAACCCAGCAGGTGTCGTGTTAGAGTCCTCCTCCTCACAGGGGGCTTTGGCCCTTAACGGCCCCCACAGGTTCAGCCAAGATGGGAATGGAGGAACCCACTCTGCAAAGAGCTGCACCGACTCCAATGAGATGGAGAGACTCTTCTCAGAACCATCCCACTTCTCCAGTCCACCTGACACCACCCACACAGTGAGCCTTGGGGAACAATGCATACATTTATAGACATGCGGGTTGCATAGTTATGGTTCATTTCAGAGAACAACTTTATCAGTGCATGAGATGGAAGAGTGGGATGGAAAGATGTGCATTTTGGAACAGATCAAAGCAAAACCTATTAATTGAACCATTTGACTTAATTATATTAATTATTATTATATTGTTAATTATATTATACCCTTGACCTCACTGAAAAGTAAAGTACTATAGTATTACCATGTTTGGTTATGTTTATCATGTTTTCACCTCATTTTGTTTAATTATATTTATTTTTCAGATTGAGAGCTCTTTGGTCTCCTGTCCATTGAATGAAACTCAGATTTCCTCACTCCCCCTTGATGACTTCAGTCTGATGGAGGAGTGTGAGGTGCAGTTCCGGCGGCATCCAGCAGAGGGCCAACAGGATGAAGACTGATGAAGAAATGAAAGCCAAGGATATCCTCTTTTCAGACTCCTGTCCAACTCAGGTCAACTGAAGTATTCATATTTTTCAGTTCTGTTTTTATCTCGCAAAGAATATATTATACTTAAGTTAAGTTCCCTTTGTGGGAATCACTGTAATGCCGGGGGTCCCTCTGGCCTCATAGTGGGTGAGGTTCTGTGATGGACAGCTATTATTTCTCATTGGTAGGTGAACAAATACACAGTTACAACTGGCAGCATACATTCTCCAGTCACTGGTATCTATAAGTGACATTATTCGGCTAAGTATTTTTCCTTCTACCGCATATTAGTTCTGTTTTTCGATGTGCTGCCTTCTCCTAACCTACCAATGATTTCACAAGCCCATCCAGTGGAGACCAATACCTTCTTCCAGGGATTTCAAATTATTCTCAGGATTTTTTTTTTTTCACTGATATCAATATTTTTTTGTTTGGTTTCAACCTTCATAAAGACTTTAGACTCGGCTACGTGAACCTTAGAATTTACAACAAAAAACCTACCTCAGCTGGAATGAATGTCTTGTAGGAAGTCTACAAAAGTCTGTTTTTATACACATCATGCATTCAGTCAAAAGAGAAAGAGTTGCTTCTCTACCTCAGATTTCAAGGACTGCCGCTCTCCTGCTCGCTGAAGCAAAACAAGAAAAAAAAAATCCAACATATAGCACTTCCAAATGTTGAAGTCATTGTTCTACCTCAAAATAACAAAGTTGTTATTGTCGTTGTGGTTGTTTTCTGATATTGCAGCACATCCTCTGTTCGTACGATCCTGGCTTCACCATGTTGATTAATTGCTGTGTTTTGATATGTCAGTACCTCATGCCAGGTGACAGATGACATTGTTCTATGAATTCTGCGTGTAAAGATGTTTCGACAGTGTCCTTGTATTCGTGTAGATTTTTTTTGTTCTATGTTTCCTGATCAGAGTATTTTTTATTTTAATCGTAGTCGACGCCGTAAATTGGAAAGACTTTAAGATAAACTGCACTGTTACTAATGTCTTCAGGATAAAAATACTGCTCTCAGTTGAACCGCTGGAAGAAGAGTGACCACCGTACGCAAAGCTGGATATACACATAAAATTATTGAAGAGCTTGACTTCATGTGTTTTGCGTGTCATGTGACAATGAAATGTGGGGGTTGAACATGTATGTAACGCGTTCTTTACGGAATTAAGCACATACGCTGTTTTTTATGTGTGCCGATAGAAGTAAGTGGTGATGTGGTTTAGATACATATATCACGTGTTGTGATATTTCATGAAGAATTGAAATTGAAAATTGAATCTTTGCCTGGGTTGTAACTACAGGACTTAGCTCAGCTCCGCTCCCTTCGAGCACCCATGGATACTGTGGAGGCTGTTCAGATTCTCTGCTGTATGGTATGAAATGAACGCCAAACTGTGGAAGAACTGGGCATTCCAGAATTCTCCAGGAAGTGAACATTCCATTAGGAGCCAAAGCCACTGGAGATTCTCATGGGTCCTATGTGGTTCCATCTTTCTTTCTTATTTTAATATCCCAAGCCCCTCATGTCACATAGATCAGGGAGCACAAAGTGCATCGGATGTATGCACATAACTCGCACTCCTAACATCTCTTGGCATTAGAATGCTAAGAATGATGAGTAGAGGATGCTTGAGCTACCACTGGTCATCTCTTCATATGTCTGACCAGCTATTGAATTTCTTTTCACTGTGTGCTCAGCCACCCAATCCAAGACCAGCTGTTTCTTTTAGCGGGGAGGAAAGTACCAGCAAGATGTTCTTACTCCTCTGGTATCCAACAGTGCTGTGGTGCATATAAATATATACATATATATATATATATATATATATATATATATATATATATATATATATATATATATATATGTATATATAACCTACCTCGACACAGCAGTCATGCTCTCAGGTTGCTCCTATTCTGATGGGGAGATTGTATTTTTTTATAGTACACATACATGCAAGCATACATTTAAACATCAATGGAGAACATCTCCATTGGGCCCTTTATCAGATCAGTGCGTTGCATTAGCTTTTCATGCTCTTTGATTTCGTGAATGTAAAGTGATATTTTTTCATGTTATGTTTGTCTGTATCGAATACTCATGTTTGCTTTATTTGGCTAGTTTAAATGACTCGTCCATCGGTTTTGCCACCATCATCTTTGTTCTGATTTTAATAAGAATCATTATCAGTGTGTGTGTAGATAAGAGTCAAAATTGCATATTTTCATAACGCCCACAAATTCTGTTAACAATTTTTTTTAACGAAATGGATAAAGCCTAGATAATCAAAAAATCCCATTCATATAAGGTATATTGCCTCAAATACTGGTTCCGAAACAGAATTGCACAGTATATTACAGTGTATAAAAGACTCAGACTATGTGCTGTATATTTATTGTACCAAATGCGCTGTAGTGTTGTCATTGGAGACTGTAGATGCTTTTGTGTTGTCTATATACAGAAAAGTGCTCAATTTATTGACTGTGTTGAATAGAATTAATGGAAAAGTATCTGAACTGTGCTGTAGAACATTGTTCCTAATAATGAAAGTCTCTGAAATATCTTTTTGTACAGTTTTGGTGCTCTTGACATTCCTGTAAAAAGACAACATGTTTCCATCTGTTGTGTAATGCGATTCAAGCAATGATACATTTCCAAAAGCCAACTGCATTAGGTGCACCTCTGTTACTTGTTTCCTGATGGATTTGGTCTTGTGATGTTTGTAAACCTATCGTGTGCAGATCAGTACAGTTGAGTATTTTCAAAACAGTAATGAACATCATCAGGCTTCATGTTATAATATTTATTAGATGCCAGTGTGGTAGTCATTGGTTGAATTAGGGTGGATTTTAGACCACAAACGGACTGGTGCTCTTTTCAGTTTATCAAGTCTACCTCAGACTGATGACATGAAACTCATCTTGATCTCCTCCTCCTCTCAGCCTTTTCAAGGGGGTATTTAGTCCTTGTCTGCATTTTAAATAAAGGGGTAATCTGAGCTCTCGCGCCTGCATGGAACCTGTGATGATGATAATCATCATGCCGAAAAGTCTGTTATTGTGATAAAGCATTATAGCCACAGACTTTTCTGGTCTGCCCATAGTGATTGGTCTCGCTTTGTTTCCATTCAATATTTAGTATAGTTTCTGGCTCAATTCCCTGAAAGAACAAAGGACGTGTTACCAAAATGGCCTCTAGAACCTACTTCGCACATGTTATATACACACACACACACGGTCACATGTCTGTAAAGAAAGACATGTTTGTGTCAGCATTAGTGCCGTGTCCCAGATTTCCCCAGGGAGACTCATGGATGAGGCATTAGCATGTAGCAGCTTCAGCTCCGGCCAGCACTATGGCAACCCCGACCTATTCACAGCAGCAGAAAGACGTTCAAACTTTGAATCTGTAAAACAAACAGCGTTTTGTATGGGATAATATGTACCAGTTTCAGTCTGTTAAGCCCCTTTCAGGACAAGGATTACATAGGAGTGCGCTTTTTGCTTTGAGTGAGGGGACCCAGAGCAGCCCAACTGAGAGGAATTTATACGCTTGCTTTCACAGTTTTACACACACAGAGGCTTTAAACTTTTATTTGATGCAACATACCTTGATCACAAAGGTCTGAATGCTATCTAAATCACTTCACTTACGGTACTAAAGCACGAGGCCTCTAGTCTCTAGATTAGATTTCTGATGTGACGCTATGATGTGTATAACTGTTATTAAAATCTTGTAGTACTGTACTGTACCGTTCATAAAAATGAATGTGAAATGTGTTTACTGTGATACTCTTACAATGGAAGCAGAAAAGTGGGGTTTAAAACTAGAATGTTTTTTTAGCATGAATTATTTATTACTGTTTGTTGAGTTCTTTTTTTATTTTTCTGATAGAACTGACGTTATTTCACCTGCTTTGTAGTTACTTATGACTTTGCACATGATAATAGTCTCATGCTAATCCAAGTTATGGTTATGCTTTTGACAGTGTGATGATTCCATATTTTCAATGTTTGTTTGCTGTGCCTCCCACTTGACTTCTAGGCTTCCTTAGTAAGTTTATGACTGTCTTGGCGTTTAATTGACGGCATGACACGGATGGAATCCATAGATATTAAATGACCTGGAATATTAATATTTGTTATTGTAAAGTGGTAAAGTATAAATCATTTGCTGTTTCCAGAGAATTATTTGTACTGATGTAAAATTCACATTGATAAAAACTAATATTTCACAGATTAGATTAAGGCTAGTTAGCAAGCACAATATGTTAAATGAATGGCACTAACAGTTTGTGCATTTCTTGTGTTTAAATTGACAACAAACGAGTCTAAATTGACCCTCTTTTAGGTTCCTAACACATCTCAGCTAATTTACAGCTGTTATATAGGCTGTACATTCAGTTTTGGTAATAATACGGTGAATGTGAAGATGACCGTCACTTCTGTAAAACTGTGTTCATGACTGAAGCACTGAAAATCTCTTTACTACCATGTGGTGCTATTTCTGTCACTGCTGCGAATCATTGGACGCCCTTGTCATTTTGTTGAATTTTTTTTGTTCTTTCGAACTGTGATACTCACTGTCTTCCACAAAACAGTGAATGTATCCTTCCATTATTTGAATCTGCTTTGTAAAGTTCTGTGTAAAAGACTTGTGTGTTTCATTAAGGGAAGTTATGCATTGATGTCTCAGCGCAAACTGTATTTGTGTATAGCTATTAAACCCCGCTCAGAGCTGCATATGATTATGGAAATGTAATGCACTTGCAAGGTTAGCACAGACTGTTCAAATGTGTATCTCTGTAATCCACCATACAAACTTTAATTCTGGAGCTCAGCAGGAAAACAGTGCCTGGGGACAAACTCCAGCAAGCAATGGCTTTTGTGTTGCCTATGACCAACCGTTTCACCATCCAGCCATCTCAAGACTTCATTTTGAGCTAAGCAGGTGTGAGATGTTCAGTTTTCACCATGTAAGTCACGCTCTATAATTCAGGTCCAACACTGTTTTTATCAGTTTGTCTTCTCCAAATTTGATGTCTGCAACCCACTCTGACCACAGACGGTCAATGTTGTGTATGTACATATGCATATATTGGTATGTGTACATGTATATTTATATAAAGAAAGAATACTAGACCGTTTTTAGTGGTTTGTATTGGTTTAGGGTTCATTGTGAAACAATGTTGAAAGTCAATAACAATGATGACAATAAACTAGTTCTAGTTTTAAAAAATGATTACTTTCTTTGCCAATGACTTTTAATTGCCCTGCATTTATTCACATCTCATGTTTCAGTGAATCTGTGTCTGTACACATTACTGTTCAAAAGTTTGGTAAGATTTTGATAAGTCATTATTATGTGAAATACCAACACATTCTCATCTTTTGGCGTCATATAGGTGACGCCATATGACATTTCGTCGAAATACTACGCACATGGCATCTTTTAGCGTCAATATGAGACACAGACCCTACCCCAGACCTAAACCTACCCATAAGTTAACAGTGCGTGTTATATTGACGCTAAAGGGTGCCATGTGCGTAGCATTTCGACAAAATGGCGTCAAAAGGATGAGAACGGGCTCGAAATATTGGCAACCAGTCTTAGGCTACAGGAGGCATCCGGTCAGCGAGGAAGGTCTCTGTGTGTTTTCTCGTGGCAAAGTATTATTTTTGATTAAATGAAATACATTTTCTCATATGTACTGTATGTATATCTCATAATTTTCTCGTTATTTCATCTGACTCCAAAAATGAAAAGGTTTTTAGTGATATCTGTGCATCATTAAATGTGAGCGAATATTTGACTATTCTTTTGACTGAAAATAATGTCGATTAGAATGAAATCAGATGTTTACAATTTATTATGTCAGGTAAATGTATCATGCCAATTGCATAATCGGTTCAAAGATAATCAATACAAAACATCAAATGAGTAAAAGAAGTAGGTTAAACCCAACATTTAGAAATACATGTACTTTATATAGACATAAACTTAATTCACATGGAAACGTGCGAACAATGGAAATTTGCATTCAGAGGTTACACCTTTTGAGAGCAGGAGACCGTTTGTCTGGATAGCTCTAAACGCCTAAAAACCTTATTACCTTTATTTTACTTCTTTGGGAATGAGACCAGTCGCACTGAGACATTTCAAATGATATCAAATGTGTTATACTGTAGGTAAGTCATTCACATTGAATTATATAGATTTTTGGGTGAATTTCATTTGATCTCTTAGGGAAAGAGGGTGTTACATTCCAGCCCCCAAAAAGGGAGGGGAACCTGATAACCCTCTGCTCAGACCCACAAATGCCAGCAAAAGAGGAATGGAGTCAAAGGAGACAAAAAAGGAGACAAATTCCAAATACCGTACAAACTGTGTTTTTATTTTTGTCACGGTAATAATGTAAATGATAAACAAATTTAAGGGAGAAAGGGGAGAGCTGGACGAACCAAAGAAAAGAAATAAACAAAAATACCCCACCCCTAACCTACACATCACCTATCTGGCACACGATCAAGGCGCCCTATTCAAAATTACAGATGGTGGGCCGCCCAGGTCTAACTGGTGTTTATAGACAGAGAAGTATGCCTACGGGTGATGTATACCCGGGGTAGCTCTAAATCTACTCCCCCAACTCCCTATAAAACAAAGAACAAGAAAAGAGAAGTTAACACAAATAATAATAATAATTCACAAACAACAAACTCCGTCCTGCTGCTCAAGTTCCAAAAGTGGAACACAATGCTAGTGTTACTAGCTAACAAATCAGATTACAACATTATCAAAAGCATTGTCAAATGTTCCAATCCTAATCTCAAAATAGACAACAATAAAGTTATCTACTCATCACAAGGTTTCCCAAAAAGGGATACCAACCGCAGGAACAGAGTGCAAAGCCCAGAGCAGAGAGTGAACAGATCCAAAACTAGGCTTTTTAAAGAGCCCATGCCAGCTGCAGCCACTGACGAGTAGGAGGAGTTCCAAGATCCAATCAGCCGCTGAACCACCAATCAGCTGCTGGAATGGTTACAGAAGCCATCTTACCTGTAAGAAGAAAAACACAAGAACCACAAGCAATGCCAGCAAAGAAAATCACTATAATACGTACCCAGTTCTCTGGGGACTTAACAGAGGGGAAGAGATGTATTCTCAAATGGTGATGCTAACTTCACAGAGTGAGTTCAAATGTTAATTTCCTTTGTTCTCTCAGACAGTTCTCTCTCTTCCAGTTCTTCCAATCTTACACCTGTTTTTGTGTGTGAGGATCTAAATTTCCCTCGTCAGCTCTGCAATCTCTGCTAATTGACTAGCTGCAGTGTTCAGTATATTGCACATGGATTGATTACACTGCATATGGAAATGCATGAATTATTAACCGAGATGCACAGGCAGAAACATTTATCAGACTATATTTCCCTGCAATTGCAACTTTGTCATGCAGTGTCCCAGATCTAAAACATCCAGTCACTTATGCATAATAATGACGGTTTATTTGGGCTCTACTTCATCAATATCATACTCATTAATGTTGTGCTCAACAGTTTTTTTAATACAAATAAAAAAAACAGATGATCCTAATGCACAGCCATGTTAAATCATACATTAACTTACAGATAAAGGGAGCAAAGAAAAGAGTGGAAGAGAAACTTCCCCTTTTGCCAATCTTCTATTGTCTGAACTGAACTCAGAAATCACTTCAGTTCCATTTAATATTCCACTCTGAATTTCCGTTTATGTCCTCTATAAATCTGTGACCGTTCTTTCTTCTCTTTATTCTCTTTTTTCCTCTTTGTTTTTGTGTGTGAGAGAGAAAGATGAAGTGTGTGGTCGTTGTTGTGTTGCTTCCTTTTTTCTGCATTTAAAGCAGCAGAGCTGAGCCACTGCATGATCTCCTGGACAAGAGCTTCAAACTGAGCAGACCAGGGCTCACAGATACACCACCATCCAAACCTGATCTTTCTTTCTTTTTTTCTTGCTTTCTTGCTTGCTTGCTTTCTTGCTTTGTTTCTCTGTCTTCATTTCATTATTTCTTCCAGACTTCTCAGCCATAACATGGCTCCCAGGTGACTGCTATAGGGATAGGGAGGAAAAACCTCCTCCTAAGGTTGCTAATCAGAATCAGCTAGGCGGTTAGTGCTGTCTGTATGTGTGAGGGCATCAGTGTGTTTGTTTGTACTTGAAAATATGGCGATGTCCATTTGGGGGGCATTGTGTGCAGGATCACATCCCAAGAAAATGTCATGTGGCGTGTGCCCTCATTTCAACCAGCCGTTCCCTAAGTTCTACTCTCTGTGCTAAAGAGAGAGAGAATTTTTTTTCTGTATTAAAATGTTGTTCTACATTAGATTTGCACAGGAAGTGATGTAATACTTTAACATAAAGGAAAAGAATTGAAGTTTAAGATGAGAATATAAAGGAAGTGGGGAATGAGTCCAGGGTGTCGCTTTGGGCCACTCCAGAAATACTATTATATATTTGCCAGAAATAAATCCACTGACCTTTACAGCGGCTGATGGAGATATAGAGTGCGGATTCCACAGAGATGCCCATACACACAATTCCACACGATTCCACATGCCCATATACACACAATTTGAGAGTGTGACCAAATCCCAATACACAAACATGCCGTAACCCATGCTCCCCAAACCTGTTGGCCCCTCGGGAGAGGACAGGGAGCAGAGATGAGGTTGGGGACGAAAATAACCTGGGCACCTGACAGTGTGTGAAACAGGACAGAGAGAGAGAGAGAAATCATAAAGCCAAATTTATTGTCATGCATACAGTATCTACATATGTGAAAATCTAAAGAAAATTTGCAGAACAGATAAAATGGAGAAAGGAGGTGTGATTTAATTGTAGCCATTCTGAATGTCCAGTTTAAGACCAAGTAGTAAAAAGTTGCCTTCACACAATAATATGATAACAGTTATTTAGTTTTTAGTGGAGCGTCAGTAATATTTTTCCAATTGATTCCTGCAAGGCTAATCATACTCCTTTGTGTGCAAGTCAAATTGCTTTTCCCGGCCCCTGTTCTATCTATACAGTGAGAAAATGAAGGTTCTAGTGTAGTGAAGCACATCAATGGAGAGCTGTAAAATAAAAAAAAATAAAACTCTGCAGGGATGTGCGGTGTGGAGGTGGTGGGGTGGGAACAATCAGCAGATGTTTTCTCTGTATAAACCTTAATCAATATGGAAACAGCAGCTCCCCTCTTCTTCTTCTTTTTACATCATATACTGTATTCAGCTGTCATTCTCACTCTGTCTATACAGTAAACCTGTATAACTGTAACAGTTAACTGTAAACAGTAACAGTATATAACAGTAAACTGTCCAATAAACGTACTATATATTGGCACTTTTATATATCAACAACGGCCTTGTTTGTGTGTGTTTATATTTCTCGAGGAATCTATCAAGAGGATCATCTGATGAAAGTTGATATGTAAATGACACGTGACTGAGAATCACCATTAAGTCTCCTGGCATATAAAAGAGCAGCCCTTCATCTAGGCAGTTTGAATGTGTGCCACTTTATGAACACATGTTGTTCATAAAAAAACATGTTTTCTGAATGTACAATACAATGCATCAGTCTGTTATATGCCTATACAGTTCATGTAAAGATGGTGGAATATATTTTGAAACAAGGGCTTTGCAAAGTTTAGTGAAGCTGATACTAATGCTCACAGTAAACATTGTGACCTAGATAGGGTAAAATAGGTTAGAGAGATTCACATCCCCTGTGTTGTTCTACATGATAGGTACAAAGAAGCAACTGTACCCCACGTCAAACACAAAATTCTGCCTGTAAATTAAATTAAAAAACATTGCTGACAGGTTTGAGGGAGTTATAAAAAGATGCTTTTGTGTCTACAAATTCAAAGAGCTCGTATTATGCATGACAGAGAATGATTTTGAAAAGGAAGCACTGATCCAAAAAAAAAAAAAACGCTTTTCAAATAATGCTTTGCTCAGCAGAAAAGAAATAGAGAGCATAAAGAAGAAGAATGTAGAAGTGTGTTTAGCATTTATGTATATTCTCTTTATTTTTGTAGCTGGATCCTTGTTTTGTCCACTGGGATGCAAAGTTACAAAAATCTACATTAGAGTCACCTGAAGAGAGCATCTTTTTCCTGAAAAACAAGCTTGACTGCGATGAGAATCGCAGGAGAGTATAATGACGGAATGTGTCTCCTCAGACACCAGTTAGACAGAGCTACTGAA